ATGCCTTTTTTTGTCTGAGATAGAGTCTTGCTCTGTCGCCAGACTGGAGTGCAGTGGTGCCATCTCAGCTCACTGCAACCTCCGCCTCCCAGGTTCAAGCGATTCTCCTGCCTCAGCCTCCCGAGTAGCTGGGACTACAGGTGCATGCCACCACACCCAGCTAATTTTTGTATTTATAGTAGAGATGGGGTTTCACCATGTTGGCCAGGACGGTCTCGATCTCTTGACCTTGTGATTTACCTGCCTTGGCCTCCCAAAGTGCTGGGATTATAGGTGTGAGCCACAGTGCCCAGTCTATATGCCTTTATATTACAAAACACCTAACTTAGCATCTAGACAATACCATCCACTCTACTTAATGCTTACCACACACCCACCAGACTCAATGCACACTATCGCTTTAGTCCTCTAGAAGTCTGTGAGGACAATATTAACATCTCTTTAATTCACAAGGAAACAGACTTGGGGAGATAAAATGACTTTGCCCAAGGTCTCTCATGCCTAGAAAGTAGCAGTGAGGATTCCTACCACAGCTCTCTCCCATGCGTTAGCTCCTTCCTGGAAATTGCACTGCCTGTTGCAGGCAACTCAGGAAATAGGTGCACGTCTGAGAGGAGATTCAAGCCCATCTCAAACAACAGCTCAAGGCAAGTGAAGGGCACAGTTATCGGACAGTAAATCTCTCTCTCCCTTGCCAGGCAGCACTAACATTCATTTCCATTTCTGGCTCTTTGCACTCTGTTCCTAGATATTCAGAACTTAGCAATGGGTGTGCCTCATAATTGAATAATCTCTCTGCAACATCGAGACCATTTAATTTCTGTCATAACGGCCAACTTCAGATGCTATCTGTTACTGAGACCATACCATTTTATAGAATTAATTGATAAAAATCAGCTTCACTTGGAATCTTTCATCCTCTGAATTATTCCTGTTAATGACTGATTATCTCATACAATTTTATTCCTACTTTCACACAAATTCTTCAATGACCAACTTGCCAACTAAGGCTATTAATAAGTATTTGCTGATCAGGAAACTTTGTGAAGTTGGTCCTGAAATAAAGGAATTAACATGTGTTTATACACTTCTCTTAATGTGAAAACTATCAGGTACTATGGATAGAATTTTACCCCCTACACCAAAAACATTTGTTAAAAAACACAGTCTCTATTCTCAAAAACATACTATCAGCTAGGTATGAAAAGAATGTATGTGATGTTCACAACAATATGAATTGTTTTATGGTTGTGTTATCTAATATAATTAAAAATTTGGATATAACTTTAATGTTCATCAATCAGTAAATGTGTAAATAGAATCTAATAACTTATAAAAGCAAAATGGATTTTAAAAATGGAATCTAGTACATTCCAATGGAACTGAAGACTGTCGCTTAAAAGCTTCCATTTGTAAATCAGGTAGAGACATGGAAAAGTTTTGATGAAAGAACAGAGTATGAAATAATTTCCATGCTGTGCTAACAACTCTAAAAATTTATGTAAACATATGGACAAAGGCTTGAATGGAATCAGCCAAAATTACATTAGCTAGGCTAGCGAAATTATCTATGGGTGGTTTATAATTGATTAAATATTAGAGTATTAGATTTATATGTTTTAAAGTACAAAATTAGGCCAGGTGTGGTGGTGGATGTCTGTAATTCCAGCACTTAAGAAGGACAAGGTGGGAGGATTGCTTTAGCCAGCAGTTCAAGACCAGCCTGGGCAATACAGAGAGACCCAATCTCTACAAAAAAAAAAAAAATTAGCTGGTGTGGTGGCATGACATGCACCTGTACCTGTGGTCCTAGCTACTTAGGAGAGTAAGGTGAGAGGATTGCTTGAGCCTGGGATATTGAGGCTGCAGTGAGCCCCCAATCGTGCCACTGTACTCCAGCCTGGATGACAGTGGGACTCTGGTCTCAAAAAAAAAAGTTAAATCCTGTATTATAAAAGATATGAAATATGAACTATCTAAGTGCTTAAGGGACTCAGAGTTTAAGCAGTAAGTCTAGGTTTTAAAGGTATGTTAAGTTTGATCTCATTCGTTTGTATAAAGACAAATACCAAATATGGCAGGCCACATGCTAAAAAAATATTTCTCAGTAATGGATCTCATAGGGAAAAACCCTATGGTTTTTTGGGCTGTGAATGGATCTCATAGGGAAAAACCAGCCAAGTCAGGAGTTCATGACTGCCCTGGCAGGCTCCTTTGGCTGCTCATGTTTCATTACTACCATCCTATAATTATGCCTAAACTACTGTCCTTTACCCACACTGGCCATGACCATCACTGCCATCTCTCCTGGGCCACATGATGAGATGCAACCAGACTGAAGGTCAGTGCTCATATCTTTGTGCTTCATGTTTATTAGTTGCAGAGTTTCTTTCCATTATAATCCAACTGTAAAAAATCATGTCTATTTCAGGTCTTTTCAGAACCCTACCAAAAATAAGATAAATGTCATAATTCTATTCCCTAACAAGAAATCTCAAGTCTGTGATTCCAAGCTAGACTTTTTTTTTTTTTTTTTTTTTTTTTTGAGAGACAGAGTCCTGCTGTGTTGCCCAGGCTGGAGGGCAGTGGAGTTACTCGGTTCACTGCAACATCCACTTCCTGGGTTCAAGCGATTCTCCTGCCTCAGCTTCCCAAGTAGCTGGGACTACAGGTGTGTGCCACCATGCCCAGCTAATTTTTGTATTTTTTAGTAGAGACAGAGTTTCATTATATGTTGGCCAGGCTGGTCTCGAACTCCTGACCTCAGGCGATCTGTCTGCCTCAGCTCCACAAAGTGTTGGGATTACAGGCATAAGCCACCAGGTCCGGCTGGGACTTTTTATAAGCCACAGAAATTACACAATTCAAAATCATGATTTGACCCAATACAAAAAATATAAATTAATTAACAATAAAAACCACTCGTTAATCTTGCCGGAGGCTGTCAGGACATCTCTGGAATGATCTTTGAACCGATTTGCATTTATAATCTAATTTTCATCTTTTCCTTAAGAAACATGAGTTAAAAAAACTGCTGTAGCCAAGACTAAGGTAGACGTACACCGTTTAGTTTAAAAGTGTTCATTTCAGCCAATCAACTGGTTGTTTATGGACAATTCTTGAAAACGAGTGTAGTATATATATTATATATAATATATATGCATATATTGTATATGTAATTTTTTAACTGATAGATTACTATGGAGTCAGAGATAAAGCTTAAAATTCTACTTTTTACTGAAGAATAAGAGTTGGAAGCCAACCTCTGATCAAACCACAATATTGGGCCAGTCTTTAGGATTTTGGTTTAATCACTGCATTGCATACCTCAGAGGATTCCTTTTTAAATTTCACCATTAATCTTAGTGTTTGGCACAATTTACTAAAACAGAACACATATGTACCCCTGACCCAGTAATTTATTTCACTCCTAGGTATGTATATAGGTGTATGTGTATATATACATACACACACACATACACCTATTATATACCTAGGAGTGAAACTGGGTCAAGGGTACATATGTTCACTAAGACACCTATTAGAATGTTCAATCCAAATACCATTAGCAACAAAACTGACACATTTGGTACATGCATACAATGGGATGCTATACAGCAATGAAAATGAGCAAATTAAATACAACAGTAGGAGAAATCTCATATAACTCTGAGCACACGAAGCCACTGTCAAGAGAATATGGACTACTTGATTCCATTTGTAAAAAGTTCAAAAACAGAGAAAGCTGATTGATCTATGTGTAAGGACTGAGGATATGGAGGAAGAATACTAAGTAACTAGAGACTCTGAGTATTGGTAATGTTGTTTCTTTTTTTTTTTTTCAATAATAAGATTTTGAATCAGGCAGCCTTCTGAGCCATAGTAGGCTCAGAGACTCCAATCTTCTGTTTCTTAATTTGGTGCAGATTACATCTGCAAGTTTCATCAAGCTATCCATTTATGATTTGTACACTTCTCTGTTTATCTGTTACACTTCACTAAAAAGTTTTTTAAAAAAATGCACCCTCAGCCACTGTACCCCCAAAAGTGACCGTTTCATGTATGTATATTGCTGCTTGACAAGAGAGAAAAATTAAAAATTTAAGTGACTTCATTTAGGTTGAAAGTGTTTCACAAATGCTGGAAACAGGAGTAAAAAGACATTAAATGAAAAAAATTGGGGGTTGTTTTTGTATTTTATAACAGAACAAACATATCAATCTACAAGGTCAGAAATATGAAGTAAAAAATGAGAAAGGAGGTGACTTCGGTATCAATAGTGGATCTTGCTCTGCAGAAGGACAAAGGGAAGGACAGGACCAGACAAAAGAAGGGAGAATAAAGACCCAAGGCCTGAGAAATTCGAGCCAGCCCATGGCGGATTTGAAATCAACAAAGGGCAGCCTAATGGACACTGGAGTGATACAAAGATGGTGTGATTGAGTACCGGGCACTACTAATGTATGGGAGACACACATTCACAGGGAGTCCAGGCAGCAACAGACCCCAAACCCTTTGCTGAGCCAAGGAAAGTGGACAGATGTTAGGTGGTGAGGAGTGACACATGCACAATTCAGAATGCAAAAGTTCTCCTTTTTTCCCAAGAGAATCTAGTCATTCACAAAACCTCAATCTTACTTGGGCCAGACGATTTTTAATTTAAAAGGGAGGCTAGGCACGGAGGCGCATGCCTGTAATCCCAGCACTTTGGGAGGTCGAGACCGGCAGATCACCTGAGGCCAAGAGTTCGAGACAGCCCGGCCAACATGGTGAAACTCTGTCTCTACTAAAAATACAAAAATTAGCAGGGCATGGTGGTGCAAGCCTGTAATCCCAACTACTCGGGAAGCTGAGGCAGGAGAATTGCTTGAACCTGGGAGGCAGAGGTTGCAGTGAGCCAAGATCACACCACTGCACTCCAGCCTGGATGACAGAGCAAGACTGTGTCTTAAAAAATAAAATAGAGCTCTCAGCGCCGCTCCCAGCCACAGCCTCCCGTGTGCTTCACTCAGCTCCAACATGACAAAAATCTCCAGCCCTACAGAGACTGAGCAGTGCATCGAGTCCCTGATTGCTGTTTTCCAGAAGTATGCTGGAAATGATGGTTACAACTACACTCTCTCCAAGAGGGAGTTCCTGAGCTTCATGAATACAGAACTGGCTGCCTTCACAAAGAACCAGAAGGACCCCAGTGTCCTTGACCGCATGATGAAGAGACTGGATACCAACAGTGATGGGCAGCTGGATTTCTCAGAATTCCTGAATCTGATTGGTGGCCTGGCTATGGCTTGCCATGAATCCTTCCTCAAGGCTGTCCCTTCCCAGAAGCGGACCTGAGGACCCCTTAGGCCTGGCCTTCAAACCCACCCCATTTGCTTCCAGCCTTTCTGTCATCATCTCCACAGTCCACACATTACCCTTGAGCCCAGCACACCAGCCACCTCATGCAGGCCCACCTGCAGATAGCAATAAAGCAATGTCACTTTTTTAAAACATAAAAAAATAAATAAAATAAAATAATAATAATAAAAGTAAAATAAAAAAATTTAAATGGGGCACCAGAGTCTCAGTAGCTGGAAAATCCTGTAAAATATCATCTAAAACCATCCAGTCAGTCATTCTTTCAATATTACCTGTTGAATGCTTACTCTGAGCAATATTTTGGGCTAGAAGCCACATTGAAGAGAAAAGAGGTCTGAATTCTATTTTTAAACAAGGTAAGGTGTACCATTTTGTAATGGGATAGCATCTCGCTAAATTATTTAGTTTACTGTGACTCTCACACCCAACTCATAAGGTTCTTGGTAGTGTTTAAAAGCATGGATCCTGTTATGGTTAGGGTTTCTTTCTTTCTTTCTTTTTTTTTTTTGTTTTTTTTTTTTTTTTTGAGACAGTCTCATTCTGTCATCCAGACTGGAGTGCAAGGGTGCGAGCTCAGCTCACTGCAACCTCCACCTCCTGGGTTCAAGTGATTAAGTGATTCCTGTGCTTCAGTCTCCTGAGTAGCTGGGGCTACGGTTGTGTACCACTATGCCTGGCTAATTTTTGTATTTTAAGTAGAGACAAGGTTTCTCCATATTGGCCAGGCTGGTGTCGAACTCCTGACCTCAAGTGATCCTCCTGCCTTGACCTCCCAAAGTGCTGGGATTACAGGCATGAGCTCCCGTGCCTGGCCTGATTAGTTCTTTGTGTCAACTTTGCTAGGCTATAGTACTGTTATCCAATAAAAGATTCATCTAAGTGTTACTGTGAAGGTATTTTGTAGATGTGGTTAACATCTACAATCAGTTGATTGTATTTTTCTTAAATTTTTAAATTTCTGAGATAGAGTCTTGCTCTGTTGCCCAGGCTGAAGTGCAGTGGTATAATCACAGCTTACTGCAGTCTTGACCTCCAAGGCCCAAGCAATCCTCCGACGTCACCCTCTAAAGTAGCTGGGACCACAGACATGTGCTACCATGCCTGGCTAATTTTTTTTTAAACTTTTGTAGAGATGGAGTTTCCCTATGATGCCCAGGCTGGATGGATGACTTTAAGGAAAAGAGATTTTCCTTGATACTGTGGGTGAGTCTCACATGACTAGTTAAAAGGCTGAAAAGAAAAACTGAGTTTTCCCTGAGAAAGAAGAAATTCTAGGTAAAGAGTGAACTACGAGCTCCTGTCTAGAGTTTCCAGCCTGCCAGCCTTCCCTGAAGATATGGGACTTGCCAGCCTCTCCAATTGCATAAACCAATCCTATTGGTTCTGTTTTTCTGGAGAACTGATTTTCTGTTTTTTCTGGAGAAGTCCAGTTATCCTGGAGGATGGACACAGATGGTAATCAAACCCCTTGGGTTCAAAGCCAGGCTCTGCCACATCCCCATCTGGGTGTCCTTTTTACCTTTGTTGCCACATTTGTAAAATGGGGATGATAACAGTAACCTAATGTGTAGGAATCAGAAACATCCCTGGCATAGAATAATTCTATGGTTCCAAGTTGCACAAAATTCTTTATTTCTTAGCTGGAAAACCTGAGCTATCTTTATTCCTAACAATTTGCCATCAACCAAACACAATGACTCTTTCCCACAACAAAAACTAAACAGCTTTAGGACAACAGCTCCTCTCCAGGCACGCCAGCCTAACCCCACTCAAAGGAATGATGCAGCAAAGCTGAGGTCACAGCACTTCTGGAACACTCTTCATTCTCCAAGTGCTCAGCTGCTAAAAACAGCTGAGCTTAAAGAGGCTGCCAGGAAACAGACTCCACACAGAGCTATTTCTACTATTTGCAAGAGTGGGAGTTTTAGAAAGGGGTCCTAATCATTCCCTCTGTTCCCACTGTTAATCCCTACAGCAACTTGCCATGGCCACTTGGGATGAAAGATTAAAAGAGGAATCAGTGTTGTTTTTGTGGACACACATTTTAGGGGGAGAATATAATGATACTGCTGATGGTGATGATAACTTTTACTGTACACTTACTAGGTGCCAGACACTGCTCTCAGGGCTAAACATTAACTCATGTAAACCTCAGAACAACCCCGAGGTAGACACTTTTAGGTTGGTGCAGACATCACTGCAGTTTATGTCATTAAAAGTAATGGCAAGAACAGGTGCAGTGGCTTATGAGGTCAGGAGTTCAAGAGCAGCCTTACCAATATGGTGAAACTCCTCTCTAGTAAAAATACGAAAATTAGTTGGTCGTGGTGGCACATGCCTGTAGTCCCAGCTACTTGGGAGGCTGAGGCAGGACAATCGCTTGAACCCGGGAGGCAGAGGTTGTAATGAGCCAAGATCGTGCCACTGCACTCCAGCCTGGGTGACAGAGTGAGACTCCATCTCAACAACAACAACAACAACAACAAGAAGTAATGGCAAAAACAGCAATTACTTCTGCACCAACCTAACAGAACCATCCTCATTGCACAGATAAACAGAAAGTGGCCAAGGTGAAATCTGAACCAGGCTTTCGGGCTCTCCCTCATGTGCATGCTACCTGAGCCTGGATTGTGAAGAGGGAGGAGGGAGGCGAGGGAACAAGTACAAAACGGGGCTGTGATTGATGGGAGTGCTTGGCAAGCCTGAGTTCAATCAATGGTTAAATCAGCTTATTTTAAATGAAACAAATTTCCAAGACTGAAGTAGAAGCAATCACACACCATGTTCCTCCCTGAATATCTTTTGTTCAAGTGTATAATTTGTGCCCACTTTTATACATAAATATCAAAGCTCACAAAAGATTCATGCTATGGTATTTCAAACTTTCATCTTCATATAAAAAAAGTAAGGAAAAGCGATTTTGAAATTCTCATTTATCCAGTAGCAGTGCAATGAAATCAAACACCTGCTTACTTGAAAAATGATAAAACACATTTATTCTCATTTGCTCCTATATTACACCGAGTTTTCCCTATAGGACTTCACATTGATAAAGACATTCTGTTCTACAGGATTCCTGTGAACTAAGTCTTAGAAGACTTTTCTGGAATATCTTCTTATACCTCAGAGAACAAAAAAGATAAACAGGATCAGATTCTATCAGAAACTGGTAAATTTTCCTATTAGGAAGATAGACTGGGTTTCAGATACTCCTGTCCAACTTCTCTGGCTCTCAATATTTTTCTATGCCCTAGGAACATGAAGTGAACAATTTACTTTTACCCCAGAGACCTGCCTATAGTCATGCTGTCCTTTGGCTTACAGTCCCTTGGAGCTAAGCAGGATCATACAGAATCCTGGGTCAGAGGAGAAATTAAGAAGGGGAGGCTGAGCATGGTGGCTCACACCTGTAATCCCAGCACTTTGGGAGGCTGAGGCAGGCAGACTACTCGAGGTTGGGATTTCGAGACAGCCTGACCAACGTGGAGAAACTCCGTCTCTACTAAAAATAAAAAATTAGCCGGGCGTGGTGGCACATGCCTGTAATCCCAGCTACTCGGGAGGCTGAGGCAGGAGAATCACTTGAACCCAGGAGGTGGCTGCAGTGAGTTGAGATCGCACCATTGCACTCCAGCCTGGGCAACAAGAGTGAAACTCCATCTCAAAAAAAAAAAGGAGGGGGGGATTTCTCAGATATCTATGAGATGTGGAAGTTCCATAAATGAAGTTTACACCAAGTCCCGAGACCTGATTTTGGCCAACTATATAAATTTCCCTTGCTGTGGAACTCTTTCCAGAGATAGAAGCATCAAGAATAATGCAACCCTCCTGCTAATGTTTGCACCTAGAGAGGCTATGCTGACAACCATCAGGTCTTCACATCCCATGAACATCTTTGTGTACCTAGCTGAGGTCCCCAAGCTCAAGAAGGGCACCCTGGAATTCTGGGGACATAAAGTCCTTCTCTGGGGGCACCTGCCTCTCCCCTTGCTGGGTCCTGTCTTCCAGGTATTTTACTGGAGCAGCACCAGCAGAAGATGGGAGAGGGAAGCTGCCTTCTCTCCATCTTGCCTGTAAAAATGGGCTGGTCATACTGGCATTCTTCATTTATGAGTTCCCTGCCCTGAGGAACAGATTGGGATGGATGTTCACAGAGTGCTTTAAGAGGCTTACAATCGGCCAGGCGCGGTGGCTCACGCATATAATCCCAGCACTTTGGGAGGCTGAGGCGGGTGGATCACGAGGTCAAGAGATGGAGACCATCCTGGTCAACAAGGTGAAACCCCATCTCTACTAAAAACACAAAAATTAGCTGGGCATGGTGGAGCACGCCTGTAGTCCCAGCTACTCGGGAGGCTGAGGCAGGAGAATTGCTTGAACCCAGAAGGCAGAGGTTGCGGTGAGCCGAGATCCTGCCATTGCACTCCAGTCTGGGTAACAACAGCGAAACTCCGTCTCAAAAAAAAGAAAAAAAAGAGGATTACATCCTTTAAAAAATCTATAAAATTATTACAAAAAAGAATAAGCCAACAAAACACTCCCTCCTGAAACTGTTTCCTTTGGGTAATAACATGAAAACATTTCCCATTGAGAGCTCTCTCACAAGAAAAAAACCTTCACTGTCAGATGTCTGGGTTTCCAATATTGAGATTCCTAGTTTTTGTGTTCTCTGAATGTATGTATGTGTGTGTATACATAAACACACACATATATAATTTAGTTAAAATATAGTATGTGTATGTGTGTACATGTGTATATACATATTAATATATGCATATATAATTTGGTTAAAATATAGTTAAAAACAACTGAGCAATGTTCCAGCTAGTCCTTCCAGACCAGTTTTGTAAATTCTGCAAGGCACCTCCTCAAAACACCATCCTTTAAAAGCAGCAAGACATAGCCTACTGCTGACTCCCTATGGCCAGAAAGGACACCCAGACAAGAGGCCTTCACCAGTATCATCTGTCCTGGGTAAGAGCCAACAGCCACAGCACAGCTTCACCTTATGCACCAACTTGGTTAAGAAAGAAAATCCTGAGGTTTCAAGGCTGGGTTAAGAGGGCCAACAGGCTCTCAGTTAACTTAGTTGCAAATGTAAGCAGCATCTAGTTCCACAATGCCAAGTATTGCCCAGTCTGGGAGCAAAAAACGCTCCTGCCTCTTTTTTTTTTTTAATGAATGGCAATTTAAAATAACTTTATGCTAAAGATTTACCTTTAACTTGTCTGCTAACCAATTATCAAAGCAACAGTGCAACACAGAATTCTGTCTTTGGCTGTCACCTCACATGTCAAGGCGCTGCAGCGCTGACTTGCAAGGTGTTTAGACAGCTGGCAAGAGACTGAGTGCATGGAGGCTGCGGAAAGCCTGTTTCAGGCTTCCATTCGGTTCATCTGCTTTCCCATGGGCAAGCAGCCACCGCACAGAGCCACCCCAGTCTTAGGTCAGCAGACAATATGGGCGAAGTCTGCAAAAGACGCACTGGTTTGGGTGTGGTCACTGGCAAAGGAAAGCACTGGTCCCCTAGCAGCGGCTCAGAAACCAAGAGCCGCACCCTTGGCGGGTCATTTCTACCCGCTTCTCTGCAATTTCACCACAATCCGCACCAACCCTTACGGCTCCCCCTAGGAGAGCATACTCGGACTCAGACCGCCTCGGCAGACAAAGCCGCTGCTCTGGGAACCCGCGCTGCACCGAGGCGACCTACAGCCTCTGGTCTCTGCGTCGCCGCCCAGCAGCTCCGCGCCGCTAACCACACCGCCTCTTGGCTGCAGGTAGACAGCGTTGGGCAGACGGCGCTGCATCAGAAGGTACCCAGCCGGGAGGGGCTGTCTACAGGCCCCCAGGCGAGGGGAGCGCCTCCCACCCGGGATTCCTGGCGGGGTCGGGCCCCCACACAACCCCAAAGACAGCACGTGCCTGGAGGTTCTGCAAGGAATATTGCCGGTACCAGAAAACGCACCCTTGCGTCCTGGGGGATGGACCCTGGTTCGTTATGGGGAGAACACCAGGGTCGGCTATTGTTCTCCGGGTCTCCCCGAAGGGAGATGTCCCGTTTGCTGCCTCCCTGGCAGCACCTGCCGCTGGGCAAAGCCTTTGAGCTCCTCGAGAAAAGGGCGTGCCGGGGGCGCCGCATAAGATCTCAAAACCCTAAGCGAGTCGCTACCAGCTGGTTTAAAGCTTGGAGACAAAGCTCCTCACCGGGCCAGCTCGGTCCTGGATCCACTATCCTGGGTCCCTAGCCAGGGTCCGCAGGCCACGCCCAGCCGGCCACCTGGGTCGCCGGGCCCAGCGCCTGGAGCTGAGGGTCTTCGGCCCGAGACCACCTCTCAACCGCCTGCTGCTCCCTCCTCCGGAGGCCCCCCTTCCCAGAAGGCTCCCTCCCCCGCACATCGCGGGTCTCCTCCTCCCTCTCGTTCTCCCTCCTCAAACCCAGGCGGTCTCCACCCGCCGGCATCCCTCCTCCCCTCCCCGTTCTTCAGCAGACTCAGCCTTCCCGGGGGCCACCTGCACTGAGAGCTCCATCCCTTGCTCTTCGGACCCGCCCCTGCCCCTTCTCTTTCCTCTTCAAACCCTAGTTCCCACTCCCTGCTCCCCCAGACCCACTACCAGTCCCCACCGAGCTCCCCAGCCTTCCCCATCCCCATCTTTCCTCAACCCAGGCCTCCCCTCGCCCTCTCTCGGCTTCTCTCCAGCTCCTACTCCAGCCCCGTCCCCAGGCTCGGGGCGGCGATGTCCGTGCCCGCCGAGATCGATGCTGCAAGGCGGGCTCCCAAGCTGGGCTCCGGCCGAGGGACCCAGCTCGGCACCTGCTCCGGGCTGGGAAGCCTCAGGAGGCCTTTGTGGCTCGGGAGGGTGGCTCGGAGGAGGCGGACGAGTCCTCTGGAGGCGTCTGCTCCGTCAGCCGGGCAGGTGGAACAGACCGTCGGGTCAGGTCCAAGCTGGGCAGATCGCAACCCGTAGGCGAGAAGGACCGAGGGTGTGTATCTGGGTGGTGTGTGGAACCGGGGACGGCGCGGATCCTGGGACTGGCAGGACTGGCCCCCGGCCAGAGCCGCCCCCGCCCAGCCCTCCAGCAGTCCACTGCACCGCGCCCAGCGAGGGGGGCGGCCCACTGCGTGCTAGGCGCGAAATCCCTCGGCCGAGCCGCCTCCTCACCCGAGTACTCCCCAACCCCGCGAGCACACACATTAAACGCCTACTGTGAGCAAGGCCCGGCGCGGCGCTCTGTGGGCGTACAAAGAGGACCCCAAGAACCCTCCGGCGCAGCCCCGAAGGCCACCTCCCAACCCCAAACCACACCTCCCGCAGCGTCCCCTGAGGCCGGGCCCCAGGTGCAGCCAGCTCCCCGCCCTTTTGTGAGCCTCACGGAAAAACAGAAGGGGGAGAGGAGGATGTCCTAGCCCGGGGGGGTAAGCCCACCGACCCCCCTGCCATCACCCACTCCTCCGGGATGCTGCGGCCGCGGGGGCCCGTGGCTCTGCTCTGTCCGTCTCCGTCTCGCCGCGGCGCCGAAGCTGCGGGTGCTCGGGGCGGCGGCGGCTCCACGCTCGCTCGCTCGGGGGCCGCCTCAGCGCGCCCAGCGCGGGAGTCCGGAGTGGTGAGCGGGGGAGGGGCGCGGGTGGGGGCTGGGAGCGGCCTCCACCAATCACCGCGCGGGCGGCTCCTCCCGCCGCTCCCCACCGTAGCTAGCAGGTTAAGAAGAGGCGGGCACAGGAGGCGCCCGCATCCTCGGCGCCGTGCGCGGCCGCCTCCTGGGGACTACAACTCCCGGCGGACTCTGCGGCAGGGCCGGGGTCCGAGAGCTGTCGGAGGGCGCGGCCGGAGAACTCGCTGACCCCCCTCGCGCCAGGCTCCGCGTTCCCTCGGGTTTCCATGGCGACTCAGGACATTTCACGAAGCCCGGATGCGCCGAGGCACTGGTCCCCTGGGAGGGTCAGGGGGCGGCTCCGGAGGGCAGCCCGTCTCCCCTCCCCCAGCTGGATCCCACCAGAGCGACTGAACAATGCAGCGGACGCGCTGCCCTCGGCCTCGGGACCCCACCGAGGCCGCCTGCTTCGCGCCAAAACCCTCTCCGGCTCTCGCCGGATTGCAGGATGCACAGGGCGGGGTGGGCGTCATAGGAAAACTGTTCTCACAAACAAAGTGGACGGCCACTTGAGGCCACCGCAGTTCGCATCTGCACCCTGTGAGGTCTCGAACCCGGAATGCATTCTCTCCACCGAGAAGATTTTTGCCCAGTGCCACGCGGGGGTTTCCCTGTCCAGAGCACTCAGGCCCAGTACCTGTCTTATTTCTGGCCTCTGTCAAGAGACAGAGAAGCCTCTGGAAATGATTCATAACCCAATTTATATTCGCTTCGCCTGTTTCTTCATGTTTAAATACATACACACTTTACCGAAATCAACAAATCTAAAAAAGGAGAGGAAGGATCATCCCTCTTTGTCCAACCTCCCTAGCTACCCGGTTCAAGCCTTTGCCGTAGATCTGTATTATTTTCTGCAGTTGTAATAATAGTTGGGATTAGTCATTTGCCTCTTTGCACTTAATGTCACTCCAAAGGCGTTGCGATGAGCGTTAATATGCAGCATCGAGGACTCCCCCAACCTGCAGCTGCAGAATCCCTCCCTCCCCGGGCTCCCCCGCTATCCGGTGGGGATGAGGAGTCCCCTGGCAGCCAAGGCTTCCTGAGGTGGTTCTTTTTGCTTTCAAACAAAATTGTGTCCACTACTCCGGGGGAGTGGAGGGGGGTTCCCTCTCCCCATCTCAGCAAAGTCTACCCGGGAGCAGGACCCGCAGAACCCTGCCATACTTCCCCGGAGAGCTTAGGACCTGGACCTAAGCTGGCTTTTGGGGGATGCAGTTCTGGATTACTCCACTGAGTCTGCACTCCTTCTGTCCTCCCCATCTCCCCTCTGCGTGCTGAGCAGAGAGCAGGGAGCCCCCAGAGGAACCTCAAAGCATCCCCCGACCCTGCGCAGCCCGGGGTGTGGCTGTGAAAACTGCTCCAGCTTGGGGTACTGCCCTGTGGATTCTCCAGGGCTTTGCTGGGACAGGGATGTAGGCAAAATGGACCGGGCTTCAGGGAGGTGGCGTGGAGCTTCCAGCGGCCTCCAGGCGGAGGGGTCCCGGGGTCATCGCGCGCGGGCGGTGCTGCGCTTTTTGCCTAAGGGAGAGGGAGCCCTCTAGTGACTGTAAATGTTTTCTGCAGCGTCTCGTAGACCTCAAATGTGGACTCCAGCTTCTTAGCGTTCTTGGGCTACCTCCCCAAGTCAGAGAAACGGCTGTCTCTACGTCATCTGTCGGTTTAGGACATTGATAAAGATTGCACCCAAGCCGGGGTTGCATATGTCCTCAGTGCTTGACTTCGGTTTATTGTTTCTGTTGTTAACTTAGGCTCCATTTCCTGGGAAGTAGAAAGAGCACAGAGCTTGGAGTCCCATATTTCTGGGTTGGGATCCTTGCTCCTTCCAGTTTCTGTTTACTTGACCTTGAGAATGTGACTTACTCCATCTGACCCTTAGCCCCCCCCCCCCAGAATATTGGGATCATATACATTCTTTTAACCTTGTCGTGGAAATTACATGAATAAATGTATATAAAGGTATAGCACATTGCCTGGCGTATAGTATGCACGCAACAAATGCAGCTATTAATATCTAGCCCACAGAAAGCAGTTACTGAACAGTGTGAGGGATATAAGAATACATTACACTCCCCACAATAACAGCCACAAAAGGCACTATGTTGTGATTTTTATTATAAAGCTCATGTTACTACTAGGTCAGATAAGTGGAATAAGAATTCAGACGAGAAAGAAATCAGTTCTGCATAGATCATTGGGAAAAGGAGGAGCTAGAATTTGGATTTCACCTGGATATTGATTTGATAGACAGTTCTAAGCAGTAGTCTGAGATTCCAGGGTGAAGGAGCAAAAGCTTGTGGGTGGGGAACCCAAGGGGATATTTGGAAGACAGCAGAGGAACCCACTATGTCTTGAAAGTCAAGTCCATGAACGAGGGTCATGGGAAGAGAATGGGGACAGTGAATTAGGCAGGGCTTAGGGATCAGACCTCACAAAGCCCAGGGCTACTGGTTTTTATGAGTAAATGTGTTCTGAGTTCCCAACAGTCTTAACAAACTTCAGAATAAAGGCAAGTTAAAGACTACCATGAAAGGAGGAGGGAGGAAAATCATACTTTCTGGACTCCTATTATGAGCCTGGGTCTATTTGGTGTTTTACAACATATCATTTAATCCTTGCTACTCCACACAGCAAGGTAGCATCACTGATTTCTTATGGATGAGGCTATCTGGACTTAAAAAGGTTAAACGATTTGCCTGGGAAGTCACACTGCTATAAGCAGCAGAACCAGAATTCCAAAGGACATCTGCCTGGTGCAAAGCTAAGCCCTTTCTGCTCCAGCACACCCTCCCTGCCAGCCTCCAGAAGGCCAGATCTCCAGTGCAGAGAAAGCCTGTGACGGTGAGTGACTCTCAAGGAGAGCCTGTTGCCAAGCTATGGGACCCAGATGTTCCTTCCTCTGCAGCTGTACCCTGTCCCTCCTCACAGTGCCCCCTGGCAAAGGGGCTTTCCAGTATTCCCAGGAGCTTTGTATAATATTAAGTTTCCTCCTCATCCTTCTCTTTCCACTTTTTTTGCTCCTCAGTGACAACCCTAGTGTGGGGAACACATTGTGAAGTCTACTTAGCCATTAAAAAAAAATTGGGAGGCCATGCACAGTGGTTCACGCCTGTAATTCCAACAGTTTGAGAGGTCAAGGTGGGAGGATCACATAAGCCCAGGAGTTTGAGTTCACCCTGGGCAATAAAATGAGTCCTTGTCTCTGCAAAAAAATTTTTTTAATTAGCTGAGTATGGTGGCAAGCACCTGTAGTCTCAGCTACTCAGGAAGCTCGGATGAAAGAGTCACTCAAATCCAGGAGAGGGAGGTTGCAGTGAGCCCAGATTGCTCCACTGCACTCCAGCCTGGGCAACAGTGGGAGACCCCGTTTCAAAAAGAAAAAATTAGGCCAGGCACTTTGGCTTATGCCTGTAATCCCAGCACTTTGGGAGGCTGAGGCAAGTGGATCACCAGAGGTCAGGAGTTCGAGACCAGCCTGGCCAACATGGTGAAGCCCCGTCTCTATTAAAAATACAAAAATTAGCTGGGTGTGGTGGCACACGACTGTAATCCCAGCGACTTGGGAGGCTGATGCCTTAGAATCGCTTGTGCCCAGGAGGCAGAGGCTGCAGTGAACTGAGAGCTTGCCACTGTACTCCAGCCTGGATGACAGAGCAAGACTCCATCTCAAAATAAATAAATACATACATACATACATAGGTACATAAATAAATAATAAATAATAAAATTGAGACCCAGCAGTCAAACCTGTTTATTTGAGACAGTGCCACAAAACAGGAGCCAAATTTAAAAAAAAAAAAGCGTGGGGTGGGGTGGCAACAAACAGACAAATAGACAGAGAAAGAATGAAGAAGATCTAAAGTCATAGAGATACTCAGATACACAAACAGGGGAATGAGAGGGGGTGCTCCAGGTCCCCAGAGCAGTGACTACCCAGTCAGACACAGGGGATGGAGGAGGAGGCCTGGGGAGGCTGAGGGGGTGCTGTGCTAGAGCTGAAACATCAAAGTAATTTCCAGTGGTTTATCATTACCCTTGAAACGCAGATGAGCTCTCCAAAAATTTAAATCATTCCTTCTGGCCTAGGGAAGTTTTTTTTTTCCCCCTGCTTGTATTTTTAAATTGCAAAGTTTAATTTTGAAATGCAAGTTTGTCTTCTCTCTTCTCTTGGAACGAGAATGGCCACAAATCAACATAAAGGAGGAATTGCTGGATGATTCCAGCTGCCTCGGCCCCATAGCAGAAATCTACAATGTTAGATTGGCATTTATTTCACGCATATATAAAGGTTCTTTAAGACAAAGGAAGCTAGAAATTGCATAGTCTCACAATGCCAACATTATCCAGATCAGGATAATGAGGCTTTGTTTTAAGGCTTTTTCCCCCTTAACAAATACAATTTGAGTATTAGCAAGAATAATGACGAGGACAAGAAACACAAGTCAAATATAAACAATCACCTCCAGGGAACAAAAGAATTACTCTAAAAGCCAGATCTTTAATCACCTTTTGGTTCCCTAACTGTCATATTCCACAACACAGGGCTTTACTG